CGGGCCTCGTCTCCTGCACGGGGTAGTGAGGTGTTCAACTACCCCCTGTATCACCTCAGAGGCACGCGCCGACACCCTCGCGTGCCTCCGCCTCGGGTCCATCGAATAGGGGGCGGGGGCTTCCCCTAGTCCCTCGCCCCTGGACTTATTCATGGGGGCTGGAAAAGGGCGTTGTCCGCCCTTCTCCTGCGCCCGGTGCGCCTTCTGCGGCCAGGGAAGGGAGTCGAGATCTCCCTCTCCCGTTCCGCAGTTTCCTTCTGCGACATCACGTCCTCACAGAAGGACACCACTGCATCCCACGATTCTGCGCTACCGACCATACTCCGCACCAAGGCCGACAGCGACAAATCGCCTCCTACTACATTTGTGAGGACACGGCGCTGCTCCTGCGAGCGTGTGTTGCGCCGTGTCCTCCCCGCAATGGACGCAGTGGTGGCACCGAGCGTCCGGCTCAACCTAACCTAACCTAACCTAACCTAACCTAACCTAACCTAACCAATTCTCTAATCTCCAGCACACTACTTTCGCAAATAATACCGCTAGCATTAAGGGCTAAAGAGAATGCTAACATCTATGATATCAAGCGAGGTAAACCTATTGAACACCTACCAGATAGGCAATTAGAAAAAAGAGTAAGTCCTTACAACCTGCCTCATCCCTCCGAAAGAACAGAGCGACAATTTCAACTCATAAACAACCAGAATGAAATAGACGAAATTAAAAACAATTGGCCGAAAATATTCACTGACGGCAGCAAGATCGAAAATAAAGTAGGTGCAGCTGTATCGGTCTGGCAAAAACGGAGCTGAAACAAAAACAATTACATTTAGACTGGAAAACTACTGTAGTGTCTTTCAGGCGGAGATGATAGCAATTCTGAGAGCCGTTAAATATGTAGCTGAAAAAAAAAAATACCAAGGAGCTAACATACTAAGTGACTCAAGATCGGCAATCATAACCATTTGCGATCCATCATCTCTGAATCCAATCGCTGCTGAAATCCAAGAAATAATAACGGCAATGGAATGTAACGAAAAAAAAAAAAAAAAAAAAAAAACATAATGCTGTATTGGATAAAAGCACACAGTGGTATCCAAGGTAACGAGAGGGCAGATGAACTAGCCAAACGAGCTGCAATAAAAAAAAACAAACAAAGACCAGCATATGACAAAGTCCCATTGTCCTATGCAAAGCACCTCATCAGGAACTCCACTCTGCAAGTCTGGCAAAGAAGATATGAAGAATCTCCTACCAGTAATCTAACAAAGATCTTTTTCCCCAACATTGTAATAGCATATAAAATATTAAAAACTATAAAAATGTCTAATTTAACTATCCATCTGTTCACTGGTCACGGTGGAAATAAAGCCTATTTATATAATATAAGCTCTCGTCATCCCCAGGCTGCAGTTGCGACGAAAACTTAGAACAAACAGTTGAACATTTACTTATTGATTGCCCACGCTTTAGCAAAAGAAGATTTCATTCCGAATGCAGCATGGGAATGACAATTAGGAAAGATAACTTTTTTATGATAATGCAGGACAACAATTGCCGAACTATATTCATGGAATTTGCACTCACAGTATTAAGAATTGTAAGCAAGGAAAATGGGAGCAAATATATAGTTTATATGTTAGACATATTTGCACAGCATAATATAGATAGTAGTAAGTAACTCGATACCGATGAAAATATATGCACGCGAGTGTGTAAATATAGATATATACTGTATGTAGGTAAGTAAGATAAGTAGTAGGCAGATTAGTAACTGAATTGTAAAAAAAAAAAGGAAATGGCTATAACATTAATTTTAAAAAAAAAGATATAGAGAAAAGAAGTAAAACAAAATAAGAGAAAAAGGAAATAAAATTCGATTAAGTGAGGAAAAAAAAAAAAAAAACAGACAAAAAAATGCTTAGACACTCAGTGTAGGTAAGACGTACAAAATCACAGATTTCTAGTTATTGTATATAATATGTAATACATTAAAATCTAGCATAAGTGCATCGCATCTTTATGTCGACGACCTAGATAAGAAATTGGATATGAATAATGTATCAACAGAGTTATTATATAATATGATAGAATGCACGGCGGAATAAACAAACGAATAAAAAAAAAAGGATTGTAAATAATTGTTTAGACTATATTAATTTTAGTATAAGTAAGAAGGGTACTGCATAAACAGTAGTAGTTATATAAAAGATTTATAAAAAAAAAAATAATAAAAAAAAAAAAAAAACCAACCTAACCTAACCTAACCTAAACACTAACCTTTTTTTTACGGAAATCCCGATACTCTTAAATAAACCCCCTGTTTACATCTCACCACCTTTTGTCAGGGCTACGGGAACGCTTTCGCATACTACCGCAATCCCGACGGCAACAGCCCTTACAGGCTCCGACTCGATGACTTCTTCTTGGAGGGGCGTACCATCACACCGTACGCGCCACCTCGAGGCCCTGCATAATAGGTGACGGACAGCCCCAGTGTCCGCCCCCTAAGCCTCAATTACGGGGGGTGGAAGAGAGCCTGATATGCTCTTCTCCGGCGCCCAGCTCTCCGGCTGCGGATTGGGATTGTTGCCGTCTTTTCCCTCTCCCTCTCCGCAACTTCCTTTTGTGACATCACTTTTTCGCAAAATGTTACCCCAGCACTCCACGCCCTCTCGCATCCAACCATAGCTTTAATAAAAGCTGGGAGCGAGAGGTCATCACCCACTACAGCCACGAGGTCCCGACGCAAGTCAGCCCAAGCCGGGCAAACCTCAAGGGTATGCTGCGCCGTGTCCTCGTCGCTACCACAGTGATGGCACTCAGTTGTCGGCTCTCTTCCGGCTATACGGCACAGATACTTACCGAAGCACCCATATCCGGAAAGCACCTGCACCAGCCGGAAGGTCAGTGACCCATGCCGCCTATTTGTCCAGTCTAACATGACCGGAAGAACAGCATCGACAGTTCTGCTTCCTGCCTTCGGGTGGGCTAGACGCTCCTTCCACTTTTCAAGCACCAGTTGCCGAGTGTGGAGCTTTCGCAATTGCCACTCTCTGGGAGAGGGGGGACATCCTCGGTGTCGAAGTTCCAAGCGCCAATCGTACATAGACGCAAGGAACTCCGCCTCTATATCCCAGGGTGGGGACGCCGCCAAAACGCATGCCGCCTCAAAGGAGATCGTCCGGTATCCTCGCACGACTCCGACGGCCATCGCCCTCTGGGGCCTTCTCAGGAAGGCGATGGTTCTTTCCGTCAGAGCCCCAGCCCATATAGGGGCCCCATATAAAGCCATGGACCGAACCACCCCCAAATAGAGACGGCGGCAATTCGCATCGAGCCCTCCGACATTGGGTAGCAACCTTTTTAAGGCAGCTGTTGCTCTCATTAGCCGGGGGGCTAAGCACCTAAAGTGCTCGCGGAAGCTCCAACGGCTATCCAGGATGAGTCCAAGGTACCTCATATTGGACCCAACCTGAATACGGACATCACTGACAATGATGTGGGATCCCTGTGGCGGTGCTTTTCGAGGCCTGTGAAAGCAGATGGCCTGGGACTTGCTTAACGCCACTTCCAGCCCCAACATCCTAATTCTGCCAACAACCAGTGCCACTGACGTAGTGGCAATACGAACGGCTACCTCATAGGTCTCCGCCCGGGCAGTGACCAGAGTAACGTCTGCATAGCAGATTATGCCAGCACCCGGGGGGAAGGTCTCCCCGCAACACCCAGTCATAACCGACGTTCCAAAGAAGCGGTCCTAAAACCGAGCCTTGTGGAACGCCGCACGACATTACTCTCCTTAATATCCTGCCTTCCCGCCCAGGATAGCAGACACATCGCTCAGAGAGATAGCTCCCGATTATTCGTCTGAGATAGGGAGGCACCTTGTGGTACTTCAGTGCCTCGCTGATGCACTCCCAGGGCATGGTGTTGAAAGCGTTGGCAATATCTATAGACACTGCCAATAAAACCCCACCCCTTGCTAAAATCTCGTCCGAATGGGCCTTGACGCATTTAATAGCGTCTATCGTTGACCGACCCATTCGAAAGCCAAACTGCTGGTCTGACAAATCGGGACCCATCTCTTCGAGATGCCCGATAAGACGACGGGCTATTATTCGCTCGAAGAGCTTATCTGCTTCATCGAGCAATACTACAGGGCGGTAGGCGGAGGGAGAGTCGGCGGGGCGCCCATCCTTCTTCAGAAGGACTAGCCTGCCCGTTTTCCACTGTAATGGGAACCGTCCCATCTCCAGACAGGCATCAAGTAGCCTGCGGAATCGTTCCCCTAGTTCCTTGAGGGCTAAAACCCAGGCGCGGCCAGGAATGCCGTCGGGACCTGGAGCTTTGTTTTTTTTTTTTTGCTCGGAGTTTTAAGACTGCCGCACCAAGTTCCTCCTGCGACACTCGTGGCACCTCATTCTGTCCTTCTTCCATCTCCTGTACAGAGGCCATTGCTGGTGGTAACCACTCCGCCCGATCTGGAAATAGCACGTTCACCACATCCTTAACAAATTGAGGTTGGAGACTCTCCGTGAGTGGAGGCGCCCAAGATCGAAGTTTGCCCCTGACCATCTTATACGGACGTCCCCATGGATCTTGGTTGAGGGTCTATAAGAGCTCCTCTCTTGAGCGTGTCTTAGCCTCGCGAATGGACAGCTGCAGAATTTTCCGGCATTCTCTATACTTTTCGTATAGCTGTTCTTCTACAGTATCGTTACGAAGCCGTCTTCTGCGATACCTGGCGTACAGGCGCCTCGCTTTCACATAGTTAGTGCGTAAAACTGCTATCTCTACTGACCACCAGTACACCTGGCGCCTAGGAGGTGGGTGTTTGGCGCGGGGCATGCTTGCGTCACAGATGTGTGTCATAGCATCCTGAAACCAAGTTGTCTCCGTCTCAACCTCTACAGGCCCATTTGGTGGGGACAGCCACGATTGGACAATAGAGGCTTCAATGACAGCATCTCTACTCATACTTCTCAATACCCATCTTTTGGTTAATGATGGGTATTGGCCACCTCCTCAGGCAACGACTCCTTTAATATCTTAGCCAAGGAGTCAGCTTTATCGCCGCTCGTTGCTCCTGGTATCTCTAAAATGCGGGCTCCAGTGGCCGCCTGTCGGTACCGCAGAGATTCGATACCGAGGCTAGCAAGGTCGATCTTCTTTCTAGCCTCTGTCAGCACCTTTGCATAAGTGAGGCCACGATCTTCAGCTCCGGGCTGCAGTGTTATAACTACAGCCGCGGATTTTGGGGAGCGCAGTTTCACAGATGCTGGTCTCTTGGAAGGATTGACGGTTCCTGCCTTGCGTTTTTTACCTCTTCTCACTACTGTGGTCCATCCTTCTTCCGTGGACTCAGGAGGTTGAGGGCGTGATTCTGTTGGCTGGTTGGTTGCCATTTCTGTTGTTCTCCCTTCGTGGCCCTTTCCCTTTCTGTTTCCTCTTTGTATTTCCAGCGCCGGAATTTTCTTGTTGCCTATTCTTGTTTTTACGGCGTATTTGTCAGCCTTCGTAATTGTATCAGACTTCCGCCGTAGTATGTCTGCATCATTTACTACATCTCTGCGCACATCAGCAGCCAGCGGAGGGCGAACACGCTTTTCTGGGAGAAGCCGCTCCTCAAGCGCCTCCAATCGCGCATTCATCATGTCACCAACTTTGCGCATAATGGAACTTATCAATTCCTCACTTTCCTTGTCTCCTCGCACTGAGGAGTTGGATGGAGCAGGTGTTTTATTGATCCTCGCCATTTCAAGCCGGATTTCAGATAGCTCTTTACGAAGCTCCTCTATTTCACTGAGCAGGCAGGTGTTTTCAGCCTGCAATTTCGCCGTTTCTTCATTCACTGACCTCTTATGTAGGACCTCCACGACTGTTTTTATTGACGTGGCAGCATCCTTTAAGGCACGTTGAAATGTGCCTTTCAGATTTCTCGACTTGGCTGCTACCATCAGTATGACTCCGACATCGTCGAGAACCTGTTGGTTGAGAGCCATTGCCGAACGGTTGTCATCTCCGACTAAATTAGGTAGCCCCAGGGCAGTTCGTTTTTGATTTGCAGCACAAACCATTTGTTCCACTTGCCTCTCAGCCATACTAAGAGCTTCCTCAGGCCCTGGCACTACGAACTCTCCAGAATTATCCATTAATGGTGTCACCTCTTTTCCTGTCTCAGAATTCGTCTCTTTTAAAAAAGCTTCATTGTCGCTGGACGATATTGATTTTGTAATACGTCTCTTTTTCGCCCCACGGGAGCGACCTCCAGACTTAGAAGCTGTCCTTGATACATCGCTACATAGGCTTGCATCTGATTCCGATCCAGCCTGCTTATCTCCTTCTGTTGTTTTATAATTTTTATATTTTTCCATTTTTTTTCCCACGAGTGTGGAGGAAGTAACGGTCCATCCGAGCAGAGCCCCCTTTGCCCGGATAAGCCTATGCATAACCCGTCAAGGGTGTCGGCCGGTACCCTGACGGGGGGCAACGCTAACGACTGAACATTTACCCATCAGCCATGCAGCTCCTCACGGCGTGCCACGCTTGAGCTTCGGGTGATTTTTTATAGAGGTTATCATCCTCGCGACTCCAGGCGGTTAAGCCAAGAGCCCTCGGCCCCTCAGGCGCCGCGAGACATGATCCACGACACGCCAAAGGGATTCCGAGGTTCGAACGGTGGCAGAGACGATACAGGTTCTTCCCATGCCTGCCCAGAGACCGGGTGAGGGAACCCTGAGCCCATTCAATTTCCTTTTTTTTTCAGGATGTAGTCCCTGAAAATCCCGCGCTGACACGCTGCCCGGCGTCGGCAAAAGCTGAGTGCACCTGGCATCTCACCGCGCATGTCACATTCTCTGTTCCTCTCAATGGAGAGGATACGGGAAGCAACAAAAGTACCTCGTACCTATGATTCCATTCGGAACCACAGGTACGCCCAAACCCAGCCAGTTTTGGTCCGCGACGGTTTCCCGCTACCACTCATATCTGAGTGGCATTCCCCTAGCCGCCACCTGGGGACGCGCCCGATGGGAGGACTGGCAACTCCACACGGGAACCTAACCTAACCTCACCTCACCTCACCTAACCTAACCTAACCTAACCTAACCTAACCTAACCTAACCTAACCACCCAACCTCACCCTCACCACCCTAACCTAACCTAACCTAACCTAACCTAACCTAACCTAACCTAACCTAACCTAATTCCGGTAACGAACGAGACTCTAGCCTCGTCGTAAATAGGCGTCGTCATTTCCGGCGTGGGCTTGGTCCACATCGACCTCCAGAGGGTGCGAGCGGAGGACCAGTCGCCACTGGTCCAATGCACGCGATGCCTCGGCTATGGCCACGGGCGGAAGTACTGTAAAGACCCAGCAGACCTCTGTAGCCACTGTGGCGGGCCGCACTTGCGCACTAAATGCGCGGACTGGCTGGCGGGGTCCCCACCTTCCTGCCGGAACTGTTGTCGCGCGAAGTTTGAAAATGTTGAACAACGCATTTAGCGACAACTGTCCCGTCAGGAAGAGGTGGGATGACCTCGCCCGGCAATCCGTAGCGTATTGCTAAGGGCGTGCCGGCGAACGCAGTGGTTCTCAAAGTCCTCCAGACGAACCTCCAGCGCAGTAAGTTGGCACACTCCGAGCTGCTGATCGAAGCCTCTAACCAGCGTGCGCGGTTTGCTCTGGTGCAGGAGCCATACGTCGGCGGAACAGGGCGTGTGAAGAGTCAAAATGGGATCAGAGTCTTCCAGTGTGCGGACCATGGAAGTGGGACTGTAAAGGCCGCGATCATAGTTTTTGACGCGGACCTTCACATAACACAGTACCCGAAACTCACCACGACCAACATCGCAGTGGTGGGGATCCGAGTCCGCAACTGGGAGATCATCCTGGTTTCATTTTACTTTGAGCCCGACCTGCCGATGGACTCGTACCTGGCACACCTGCGCCGGGTGCGGCGCGAGACAGGAGCTCGGAGTGTTATAATTGGGGGCGACTCCAATGCCAAGAGCGTCTGGTGGGGGAGTCCCGTGACAGATCGCCGCGGCGAGGAACTGCACGGCTCACTGGAGGACCTCGGGCTCTGCATCCTGAACCGAGGGGAAACCCCTACATTTGACACTATCCGGGGCGGCGTAAGGTACAGCAGTTATGTTTATATAACTGCCGTATCGCCGGACCTGTATAGCTTGGTGGACGACTGGCGCGTGCGCGAGGACCTGACCAGCTCGGACCACAATGGCATACCCTACACATTAACGACAAGGCACATGAAAAAGAATTTCATCAAGCACACCACAAGAATATATTACACTAAACACGCAAATTGGGCCCAGTTTCGTGAGAAACTGGGTCAAATTATCAATAGAGAAAACTTTACATTAGATTATATTAAAATTTTAACACAAGGTTCACAATTAGATAACACAATCACAAAATACAACACATTAATAGCCGAAGCATGTGCCTCGTCTATTCCGCCAATAAAGAGCAAGGATGTGTTGAATATGCCATGGTGGAACGAGGGGTTGGCAGCGCTAAAGCGTGAGGTGGCCACCAAGAGATGCAGTATTCGGTGTGCAGCGCCGGTTAGGCGTCGGAAGGTAGTTGGGGAGTACCTCGAGGCGAAGGAGCGTTACGAGACCGAGGTAAGGCAAGCGCAGACGCGCAGCTGGGTCTCCTTCTGCGAACGCCAAGACGGGGAATCGGTTTGGGGGGGTATCTACCGGGTCGTTGGCAGAACCTCCAGGAGAGACGAAGACCCACCGCTGGTGGTAGACAGTATGGAGCTAGACGCCAGGGGCTCGGTGAGGCATATGGCCGAAACCTTTTACCCGGAGGACTCCGAGGGGGATGACTCCGAGGAGCACCGAAGGGTGAGGGTACAAGCTGAGCTCTTTGACGCTGAAACTTCTTCGGAATTGACGGACCCGCCTTTCACTCCTTTGGAGTTGAAATTGGCCTGCCGGTCCTTCAATCCGAAGAAGGCTCCAGGCGCGGACGGTTTTACCGCCGATATATGTTTGCACGCGATAGAATTTGACCCCGAACTCTCACTCGCTCTTTTCAACAGGTGCCTCGAACTCCGGCATTTTCCCGAGCCCTGGAAGGAGGCCACGGTAATCTTCCTCCGCAAGCCGGGGGAAGATTACTTATACGACACCACGGTCGTATCGGCCGATCGGTCTCCTTCCGGTGCTGGGGAAGGTGCTGGAGAAAATGCTTGTCGCCAGATTAAAATATCATATAGCGCCCATGCTCAGCACCCGCCAGTTCGGCTTTATGCCCCAGCGGAGCACCGAGGACGCCCTCTATACACTAGTTGAGCACATCAGATTAGGTTTAAAAAACAAAAAGTTGATGACGCTTGTGTCACTGGATATAGAGGGCGCCTTCGACAACGCTTGGTGGCCACGCATCAAAGTCAGACTGGCGGAGGAACAAGTGCCGTTTAACATCAGGAGGCTCCTGGGCAGCTACCTGAGCGGCAGGCATGTTCGCGCATGGTACTGCGGGGAGGAGCACGTGAGGAAAACCGAGAAGGGTTGCGTGCAGGGGTCTATCGGTGGGCCGATTTTGTGGAACCTCTTGTTGGATCCACTGCTTCGCGAGCTGGAGGCTAGACATCACTATGTGCAGGCATTCGCTGACGATGTGGTGCTGGTCTTTGAAGGTGAGACGGCTCATGAGGTCGAAAGCCGTGCTAATGCCGCCCTCGAGCCATGTGAGGGAGTGGGGAGTCCAGAACAAACTGAGGTTTGCGCCGCACAAGACCAGTGCCATGGTCATCACGCGCAAACTGAAGTATGACACCCCACGCCTCCACATGGGCGGGGTCGACATTGGCATGGTCGGAGAACTCAGGTTACTGGGAGTCGTCCTAGACCAGCGCCTGACCTTCAACATGCACGTCGCGAATGTGTGTAAGAAGGCCGTAGCCTTCTACGCCCAGCTTTCGAGAGCCGCGAAGGCGAGCTGGGGCCTCCACCCCGAAGTTATCCGCGCTATCTACAGAGCGGTGGTTGAGCCCGTGATACTGTACGCGGCTGCCGTTTGGGCGCCGGCTGTTGATAAGCTCGGTGTTGGAAAGCAGCTAAACGTGGTCCAGCGGGGCTTTGCGCAGAAGCTGTGTAGGGCATACCGCACCACCTCCCTGAACTCAGCACTGTTGCTCGCTGGGATACTCCCCCTTGACCTGCGCGTCCGCGAAAGCCGCGGCGCTGTGTGGTGCGAGGAGGGGTATACCCCAGGACGCGATAGGAGATCGGGAGGTGGAACGGATGTCCTCGGCTCTGCGGTCTCCGCATCCCGCTCAACATATCGACCTGGAGTTCAAGTGCCTGGCGGGCGAGGAAAAACTCGCGGTAAATATTGACCACGAACTTAATATCTACACGGACGGCAGTAAGATTGAGGGCAAGGTGGGTGCGGCGTTATCCATATGGAGGGGCGCCGCCGAAACCAAAACCCTCAAGCTTACTTTGCCGTCCTTTTGCACCGTCTACCAGGCGGAACTCCTTGCGATATGCAGGGCGGCGCGGACGGCCGCAGATAACTCGGCCAGATCAATCGGAATTTATTCTGACTCTCTGTCGGCACTGCAGACAACGATAAATCCAGTTGCCCTCCACCCCCCTGGCCGTTGAGGCGCGGGGCCACCTGCACAGGGCTTCGATACAGGACAAACTTGTCAATTTGTTCTGAGTCAAAGCTCACGCGGGACTAGAGGGGAATGAGCGTGCCGACCATCTGGCCAAGGAAGCTGCGCTAAAGTCTAAACGCAGTTTTGACTATGACAGCTGCCCGGTTTCATTCATCAGGCGAAGCATTCGTATGCGATCGCTTGATGAATGGAACCAACGATACCGGGCCGGTGAAACAGCCGGTGTCACCCGGGTCTTTTTCCCAGACGCGATAGCCGCATACCGTGTCATCGGTAAAATAAAGGTGGACAGATTTGTCACTCAGGTATTGTCGGGGCGCGGTGGATTCTCCGAGTACTTGCATCGTTTCAAGTGTAAGGAGAGTCCATCGTGCGTCTGCGATCCTGCGTGTTCGGAGTCTGTTCTCCACGTCTTCCTGGACTGCCCGGCCCATGATCGGGAGAGGCAGGAGCTGGAGTTCGTATTGGACTGCAAACTGGAAGTAAGTACGCTTCCGGATATTGTACTGGGTAAAAATAGAGACTTGTTCCTCAAATTTTGTATAAAACTGTGCATTGCTGTAAATAAAAGAAATAGAGTGTAAGTTATGCTAAGTAATTATATTGTTATATAAATATATTAGCATAAATAAATTTTAATTAGGAGCATAGTCTTAAGTTAGCATTAATGATGAATGTAATTAAAGTTTTATTGTTCCCCCCTTCACTGT